GGTCTACTCCACTTCCTTGTTGCCTGCTTAGACTCTTGGCACTCTTAGGTGAGCAGACTTAGTCAGCCTGTGTTGCCCTAACAATACCTTTAGATTGTAGTGCATTTAGACCTTCCCAGGAAGGTCTACCAGCACAGTATAATCCTCAAGCTCTCTCATGAGTCTTTCAGTGAGGCAGCAGAGAGAATTTCAAACACACCTTCTAAAGCTGAAGCTGAGCAAATTGCTTGGGATACTGGGGTGAAGGGTGAGAGCATTTGGCACTTCTTTGGAAGTATTTGCTGGCCTTGGTCATTTCCACTTGACTTCATGCATTTGGGCTTTGAGAATGTTGTGCCTCATCTTCTCATGCTCTGGGCCGGTGAGAGCAAGCACAGAGACACAGCTGAAGTCGATTTTGTCCTCGAACCTGCAGCAATGTCAGCAATTGCTCTGCAAGTCAAAGAGAGCAGTAAGACCATACCTGGTGCATTTGGGAGGCAAGTTCCCAATCCACTGACCAAGCAGTATGAGTTCATTGCAGAGCCTTGGATGCTCTGGATCACCCTGATGGCCCCAATCATGTTAGCCAACTGATTCGCCAACAAGAACTTCTATATGCACCTGGCCAGCCTCAGTGTCTACATTGATGAGTGCCTCACTTTCTCCTATCCTCCCAACTTCTCCACATGCCTGAGGAACAATCTGGCTGAATGGGTGCTGAAGTACGAGGCCCTGTACTTCAAGGGTCAGCCAGCTTGCATAGGATTGTGCCTGGTGACAATCCACTCACTCTTGCACATTGCAGATTGCATTGAGTGGGTGGGGCCAATCTGGTCAACTTGGGCATTCCCAATAGAGCGTTTCTGTGGGCTCCTTTAGTGTACAGTCACAGGAAGAAGGATTCCTTACCCAGGGATTGACCATGTGCTGCTGGAATGATGCCAATGGTGGCATCTTGTCCTGAGGTTTCCAATGCTTGAGCCCAAAGCAATTGGACCTGCAATTGAGCTCCAAGAGGACCAGGATGAGCCTTACAAGTTGCTCAATCCTAAATCAGTGTTGTCAGTGGAGCAGACACTATGCAAGAAGCTTACAGCGTACCTGGCAGCTCATCTAGCCATTGCCCCTGCAGATGCTCAAGAACTCATACCTGAAGAAGTCAAGCAGTGGGGAAAGGCACAAATCCCTGGGCTTGGTGATACAGTACACGCTGCCCAGGGATTGAAGAACTCCCATACTTGAGATATGACCTATGTTTGAGTAAGTACACAGCACAAGGCAGGATTCATACTGACTTACCATGTGCAGTATGAACATGCCAAGCACAGATATGACTCCCCCAGCATCTTATATGGCCAGCTGGAACACATCCTAGTGCTCCAGCTGGATCTCAAATGCCTGCAGCTTGCCTTGGTCAAGCCCTGCAAGCCTCACAATGATCCCTCCCCTCCCTGCTTGCCCCTTGCCTTTGTTGAGCTCACAGCAAGCCAAGTGTTTGACTTGAACATTGTCAAGGCAGTTGTTGGATGCATGCAGGATTCTCGGGGATGCTGGTGCATCATAGACCGAGTCAGGCTGTATCAACCAGTGTATGATGCTGCTGAAGATGTTCGAAGTTCTGCAGAAGAGGGTGAGTAAGGGAAATTGAGCAGAAAAAAATGGAGAAGAGGACTTAGCAGGAGGTGGACAAGAGGTGGACTTAGCAGCACTTTAGGTACAGACTTTGAAAATGCAGAGAATGTAATTTCATTGATACACATGTTATTGGGCACTAGGCCCATTGATACACAGATAGAGTCCTTGGGATGAAAGAGAATGAGAGGCTTGTGACCAAAGTAACACAAACTAGCCCAGAGAAACTATTTGAAGTCAAGACTGAGACAGTGATAGGGAGAACTAGCTAGTGGGACCTGTAGAATAGTTAGCAAGAGAAAATGCATAAGTGCAAATAAACAGACCTTATAAAATGAAATGGGAAAACATTGCAGCTTAGCCTAATTGCATAGGTTTTTTGGCTCTACTCCCTAGCCCCTGCCCCCACTCCTCCCAGCCCTCCTCACACACCAACTCCCACTCCTCCCAATCCCATCCCTCCCACTCTGGCTCCTACTCCTCCTCCCACTCCCACTCCTGCTCCCCCTACTCCCAAAGCCCTCCCCCTCTCCTCCACCGCACACATTTCCTCTAGAACAATCATGAGAGCATTGAGAGCAGGCTTGAGAGCATCCAGAAGGATGGCAAGGTCTTTGATGAATTGTGCAATGGCCTGCAAAGAGGTCCATGCCCAAATTATCTATAACAAGTAAGTACAATTCTGCATAATGAGAAGTAACACTTACTTTAATAGCACCCCAAATATAGCATGCAGCAGCTACAATGCTGCTGCAAACTCCTCCATGGCCAGCAGCAAAGACCCAGAAGGCCAGGAGGAGGAACACCCCAAGGGAGGCAGTGGCCATGAGATAGGGAGCATCCAGGAGCTCTACAGTCATGATGATAGCCATGTTGATGTCTACAGAAGGTAAGTTAGACTTGCAACCAGTATAAAAACTTACTCTAATTTGTGTGCTTGAAGTTCTTCTTTAGACCCTCCTAGGGGGGTCTTGTTTTGTCAAGTTAGCAGTGGTTGACATTGTGGTGGTGGCAATTGAGGAGGAGGAGGAATGAGGAGCAAATGAAAACAGATAAGTGGCTGCAAACACCAGGTAAGTCAAGCTAATTCAAATGAAATAAAGCTAACCATTTTTGCAGTGGCAGTTTCTAAAGGTAGTTAGTGTCACATAAGTATTGCGGGGTAGACAATGACTTACCTAAGTAAGTAGTCTACCCCACACAACTTTGCTGATGATTGAAGTAATCTTTGACCCTCCTGGGGGGGTCAAAGATTACTGAAGATGGCAAGAATGATCATGGTGGTTGGGAGGAAGCAGGAGAGGATGGTAAACAGGAACAGCTGCAAAAGAATCTAAGCAAGTCCTCAATACATTGCATGGCATCAACTTACCAATGTGTGAGAGAAGCAGTGGACTTGACAGAATTGAAGGGTGTATTGATGTTGCAGAATATGTTTGGATGGCTAGACCTTCCCAGGAAGGTCTAGAGCAAAGCTGTTGGTACCAATCACTTCTCCTGGTTTGCAGGTGCACACGAGTTTGGAGGCACAACAATTGATTAGGTAACTAGTAGTACGTTTTTTTGGTGTATGTAATTCATGTAGTTGTACCTGTAGAAGCAATGAGTTAAATTTGTAAATGATGTTTGAAAATGAAACTTACAGAGAGAAAAAATGGCTTCCTATTCACCCAAAGCCTTGCTCAGCTTTGCCAGAAGTTCCTCAGAGGCTGCAATGCTTTTGTCCATCTTGGACATCTCCTTGATGGACTCTGGCGCTGTCTTGACCATGGCTCCTCCCCAACGCTTGGCCATGATACTTTTTTTGGTGCTCTGGATTAGACCAAGAGTACACATTGTTGGGGGGAGGGGGAGGAGGGGGAGGAGTGTGTTTGTGAGGCAGGAGGAGGAGTGGGTTCACAAGGGGAGGGAGGAGGAGGAGGGTGAGTGTGCTTGTGAGATTGAGCAATCTCCCAGAGTGGAGAGGGGGGGTGGTTGAGTACAGGAGGAGGAGGGCAGTTGAACTCCTCCATCCACTGCCTTTGCATCTCCTTGACCTTCTCCCAGTCCTCGTCAGTCCAGTGAGTCAATCCAAGCATGCAAGAAGGGGGAATCAGGTCATTCAAGGCCATATAGTCAGATGTCAAATCCCATATATGGGGCTCAGACTCATCTTCAAAGGCCTGGATCTGGAGTTGCTTGGGTGTTAGGGCAACACAGGCTGACTAAGTCTGCTCACCTAAGAGTGCCAAGAGTCTAAGCAGG